GGGGGGGGGGGTTTAAAATGTCTAATAACTGAATTAACTAACAAACTTATCTCAAAGGGGATGTGAAATTAATGAGATCCCCACAAAGAGTTGTCTCAGTTAGGCTCACATGGTGCTCCCTAAAATTTCAGCCCCACTTCACTAAATACTGTCCTTTTGATCTCGAACCTGCTTAAATTGTTGATTTCATTTTGAAAGTGACAAACAAAAGAAAGAAAGAGATAAAAGCAAGAAAAATGCAACAAAAACACATTTTTTGGGGTAAGATGTAAATGCTGTCACGGGGATCTTCGGGTCTATGAGCACTTTTGCTACTAAAAGCTATTCATGCACTCTGCATTGCCTACTGAGTGCAATTATGGACAAGATGGAAGTGATGAAGTTTCAAGATGGCTTATATGGACCTGTGTGTCAGATTTCTTCATCATTTCTTTAACTCAAATTTGCATGAGAAGTGCCAAAGTGATTTGGTTAGATACTGCCTTTTGCATTTTCTGCTTTTTATTGTTTGTTTAAGGTGGTTTCTAGGTAGGCAAAAATTGTGTTTGTTTACTGATCATACAGACACGTCGGGATTAAGAAATTCATGAAATTCATTAAGAAACGAATCTCGGGAAACATTGCTGAATTATTGCTTAGCCTTAAGTATTCAATGTAGCATCTCTGCTAAGAAAAAAGCAGAAGCGGCAAGGACCTCGTTTTATTAATTAAAAGGTTAATTAATCATGCTGGTATGGATCTAACTTAGTAATGGGATTGCATTATATAAAATTAAAAAAGGGAATATAAAGTAATTTGATCAGACCCTATACCTGAAAGAACCTTCTCAGTAATTGGCCTTTGAGTTCCTTGCATTTTCACTGAAAAGGTGTACAGTATCTCTTCTTGTGGGGTTGATCTGCAATTTTGCTGTCCCTAGTTGTCAACCTTGTAGTTTCTTCCACATGTTGCGCATTCAAAGTTTAAAAGTCCTAGTCCTTGATTATATATTTGAATAATTGAATTATATATGGATGAGTTGAGGCTTTTTGAAAATTTTTTTTCTTTGGTTGGTTTGATTTGGAGCTTAGAATCTTTAATTTAATCACCGATTATTGAGTTGGACCTCCAAATTCACACCACAGAAACAAAGTACTAGGACCCTTCTCCTCTTTTATTAGTAGGCCACTGAATTCATTTGAGAACTAGCTCTTTTCTCTTTTTCCCCCACTCCCCCTCTTTCTCTTGGAAGACATTGGCATCATCTTTTGACTTGAAATCTCATTTTTCAAACTTCATAAACTACTGCATCTGAATTCCTGAATTCTAGTTGTATTTTTGTTGTCAAAGATCCAGATTTCATTGAAAGTGTGTCAAACTGTCAATTTCTATGCTTCATTGTCTTTCTTTTCACATGTTTGAAGATGATTCTTTACAGATCTCATAGCTGAAATCCCAGCTTAGGTTCTTGTTTTTCTTCCACAATTTTGATCAGGGTATTGATCTTTCTTTGTTCTTGCTCTGGAGTTTGGATTCAGAATGGCTTCTAATTCAGTTGTAGTCACAATTGAGAAGCCTAATGATTTCTCTTTAGTAGAGATGAATGGCACTGATGCATCATTGCTGCCTGATAAACAAAAGGCAGTCAGTCGCAAGCAATTCACATGGTTTCTTCTCCTCAAAGCTCACAGGGTTTTCACCTGTGTTTCTTGGCTGGCAATGGCTTCTAAGGGCATGCTTGCTTCAGTCAAGAAACGCATTGTGGTATCTGATATCAGTGAAGAAGATAAGAGAAGCAGAAGGTTATACAGATTCATCAAAGCTTTTCTTGCTATCGCCATAATAGCTCTGGTTATAGAAATCATTGCCCATTTCAAGAAATGGAATTTGATGCTGATACAGCCTTGGGAGGTTCAGGGTCTTTTGCAGTGGTCATATATGGCTTGGCTGTCTTTCAGAATTGAATATATTGCTCCTCTGGTGATAAGTCTGTCAAATTTCTGCATTGTACTGTTCCTGATTCAGTCTCTGGATCGGTTAGTTCTTTGTCTTGGATGTTTCTGGATTAAGTACAAGAAGTTGAAGCCCCAGATAGATGGAGAGGTTTATGACATTGAAGACAGTTCAAGTTTCCCCAAGGTCCTTGTTCAGATTCCTATGTGCAATGAGAGAGAGGTAAATAATCTGAGTCCATTTTTTAACCTATATTGCTCTTTTGTTTGTTTTCTGCTTTTGAATTTTGTTTTTCCTGTGTTATTGCTTCATTTATTACCTGAGCAATTTATGAAAGCTTTTGGTCATTGACTTGAATTTCCTCAGATTTAAGTAGTTATGTTCTGTCTGATGCCTAACAGTTCATCATTATTTTGTTTCCTGAAAGCTCTTGGTCATTTGGTTATGAATTTTTCAAGCTATCAATGTTTCATCCAATCAACTATTAAAAACTTTTATAAGTCTCTTTCTTGAACTTGTTCTGAAGTAATTCATGGTATTTAGGTGTATGCACAATCAATTGCCGCAGCCTGTCAAATTGATTGGCCAAAAGACCGGATTCTAATTCAAGTTCTAGATGATTCAGATGATGGAAACTTGCAGCTTCTGATTAAAGAAGAAGTTTCCTCATGGCAAGAGAAAGGAGTAAACATAATCTACAGGCATCGATTAATCAGAACTGGATACAAAGCTGGGAACCTTAAATCTGCCATGGCCTGTGACTATGTCAAGGACTATGAGTTTGTTGCTATACTTGATGCAGACTTCCAGCCTAACCCTGATTTCCTCAAGCTAACCGTTCCTCACTTCAAGGTATTATAAAAGATCCAACTGAAGGTTGGACTTATATTTCATTTCTGTCAAACGACTACTAAACAGTCTTGTTAATCATGGCAGGGAAATCCTGAGCTTGGCCTTGTTCAGGCTCGTTGGTCATTCGTAAACAAGGATGAGAATCTGCTTACAAGGCTCCAGAACGTCAACCTGTGCTTCCATTTTGAGGTGGAGCAGCAAGTGAATGGTGTTTTCCTCAATTTCTTCGGATTCAATGGGACTGCAGGAGTGTGGAGAATAAAGGCTTTAGAGGAATCTGGAGGGTGGCTTGAAAGAACAACAGTTGAGGATATGGACATTGCAGTTCGAGCACACTTAAATGGATGGAAATTCATCTTCCTCAATGATGTCAAAGTGCTCTGTGAGTTACCAGAATGTTATGAAGCTTACAAGAAACAACAGCACCGCTGGCATTCTGGTCCAATGCAGCTATTCCGTTTATGTCTCCCGGCCATCATAACTTCCAAGGTTGTGCTTAATTCCCATGTCCGCTTCTCCTTGATATGAACCTGTTGAAAGATTACGTAATTGACTCAGTTTCATTTATTTTGCCGCAGATATCCATGTGGAAGAAGGCCAATTTGATATTCCTTTTCTTTCTTTTGAGGAAACTCATACTTCCATTCTACTCCTTCACATTATTCTGTATCATACTTCCATTGACCATGTTTATACCAGAGGCTGAATTACCAATCTGGTCAATCTGTTATATCCCCATTTTCATGTCTTTCTTGAACATCCTCCCTGCCCCCAAATCCTTCCCTTTCCTTGTTCCATACCTTCTCTTCGAGAACACAATGTCAGTCACCAAATTCAATGCTATGATATCAGGACTATTTCAGCTTGGAAGTGCTTATGAATGGGTGGTAACCAAAAAGACAGGTAGATCCTCAGAATCTGATTTGTTAGCCTTAGCCGAGAGGGAATCAAAGCCCCCAGGTGAGGAGAAGATCCTCAGGAGACACTCTGAGTCTGGCCTGGAATTGTTGAACAAGCTCAAGCAACAAGAACTCCCTCCTACAAAGAAGAAGAACAAGCTGTACAGAAAGGAGCTTGCACTTGCTTTTCTTCTCCTCACTGCTTCTGCTAGAAGTCTGCTATCCGCACATGGTGTTCATTTCTACTTCTTGCTGTTCCAAGGGTTGTCTTTCTTGGTTGTTGGCTTGGACTTGATTGGGGAGCAAGTCAGCTGAAAGAGAACAAGATAGTTATTTTATTTATTTTTTCAACTTTCATCCCCCTTTTTGTGCTTATACAGAGTTTGCAGTCTATGTTAAACTCTTCTCCAGTTCCATGGCTATGAACCTGAATTGGAACTGGATACCAAGTTACCCAACACAGGTAGAAAACAGTGCTATCTGAATTAATAGGTGAGAACACTAATAAGAGTTTATTTGTATTTTTGGACAATCAAAATTATATACGTAATCTGTGTATGAATGAATAATCAGTACCAAATATAAAGTTTCAGATCAAATTTCATTGTTTTAGCTCAACCCCATTTTCCAATCTTCAACGCTGATGGTAACAAGAAAACCATGAATACATAACTGAAAGGAATTAAGCATCATCCATGGCTACCCTGATTCTGGTACTTCCTCAAAACCTAATAGGAAGGAATGTTTTTCCTCTTACCAGGTTTGTCCAAGCAGGGCAATTCCTATTATGTCTACCAGAAAATTTTGTCTTTCTCCAATGTATCACTCCATCGTAAGTTCTTCAAAGAAAAGTACCCCCATTTCAAGCAAGAACCTTGTTTGTCCTCCTCCTGTCCTGAATCCTGAATCCTGAATCCTGATCCAGAACAAAAACAAAATTTTTAAGTCCAATTTGTTTCCACCGTCGGATCAAACTAATATCAATGATCTAAAATGGTTTTACCTTACCTTTTGTTGGGATAGAAGGGAAGCCCCATTCAGCTTCTGCGGATAGCAGATACACTGTTGTGGCAGATGAACCCCTCCAATTTTTTAATCGGCATCCCGCCCCTTCTAATTACAAATCAATGCAAATGAGCCCTTTTCACTATGATGACGTCATGAATCGTCAGCATGCCGTCGAGGGTCATCAAACTACGTTACTTGGCTGCAATGCTAATGCTGACATGCAAACAAAAAAATTCCTTCAAATTCCTGCTAATGCTAATGCTGACATGATCCTCAGGGCGACAGGATTTTAAGATGTACAATGTATTTAGGCCATTTTGTTTGTTTTCCCTTGTTGGTACTAACTTTTACGTCAATCATCTACGGATTGCTTCAGTGGATAGACTCCCAAGGAGCATGGGAGGACCCGGATGATGGCAGTGGAAGTGAATATGATGAAGAAGACAAGGAGGTGGAAGAGAATGAATGTGATTTTGAAGGAGACGATATTGCTGCTGTTGACTAGTATGAAAAGAACCAGTACGAGTGGGAGGCTTTGGCAAGAGGTTTGTTTTTAGTCCCTTTGTTTATTGCTTATTTCTCGTCTACTTTCGGTTTCTTGTTTGTTTGCTTGTTGGAACGACACTTGTCTGGCATGTTTGCTAAAGTGTTCTGCTATTGAAAGATAAAAGTCACCATATAGAAAAGGAGGAGAATGTATGATGTCGCTTGTCTCTGCTTCTATAAAGACCAAAATGAAATAAGCTGTTCTCAATTCTTGATTGACTAAAGAAGGCTGTGAAAATTTGGTTGTCCACTTCATCTGATCATTTTGCCAAAATTTTACTGCTAATATACGCATGAAAGTGAAATGAATTTACGGATGGAAACCATTAGGAGGAGGAAGTGCTCCACATTTAAGGCCCACCCTATCCAATAGTTTCCGGATGGGATTGTTTAAGATAAAGGATTTTCGTATGCTGCAAAAATCAGTGTGAATACGCGCACGGTAGTAAAAAGTAAAACCCTTTTTGCCCGGATAGAGAGCTAAACGCTCATAATCAAAAACCCCTTCAGGTAAAGTCTTCACCTTTCAACCAAAAACCCATTGGAACGAAGGAGAAAGACTACGCTCTCACCCTTCTCATCTCCCCTGCATTCTATCTCCAAAACCCATTTTCGTAATCTGAGAATTCTTCCTGTTCGAAATGTCGTCCGTTTTCAGACCAAGTGCAGCGGTGGAGTTTCTTTCAAGAGCTTGGCGTTTCGCACACAGAAGAGGAAATGGTCCTATGGGATGAGCAGACCAAGGTCGGTGGAAGGAGACACCTTGTTACCTGCACAAGCAGAAGCAGTTCCTCTAGAAGTTTTAGTCCCAGTTTCTCCTTCTGACACGCTCGCAACATACTTCCAGGTATGGTTTCTTGGTGTTTTTGTTAATGATAAGAATTATTCCCTATGATCCCACCTAGCTAGTTTAGAGCTTGTGGTTGTTCATTTGGGATTGATAATTTCCTGCTGATTCATTTATTGCGACTATAGGTATTGGTTGGATATAATTTCTGTTATTGATAATTCTGTATTGAATCTGGAACCCACTCTCCCCATTTTTCTCTCGTGATGAGAAACACAAAGAATGATTTTAGAGGAAAGCCATCTTTGAAAAGTTGATTATGTTATGGTAAAGGCCCATGTACCTACCTTCAATGGAATAGTAGTATATGTTATGGGTTTTGCCATTTAGCAAGAACTGCTTTTGTTTAATGTTGTTTACTTGTTTCGCTAAGTTAGTCAGTTTTTTTTTTTTTTTTTTTCTTTGGCATAGCTTTGAATTTATTTGCATTGCCTTCTTCCTATCCCTTTCTTATGGTATGAAGGCAAATGGAACGTTGGCTGAATCACAAATTCCTACAGTGACCAAAGCCTTAGAGGTAGTGTAAGGACAAGTCCGAGGTGCCAAACCTCGGGCTGCTACAGTAACTCCTTTATGACCGAAGTAAGGAATAAATCCAAGGCTTCCCGCTCAAATAGCTGCATAACAATGGCAATAAGCATGCCCGCACCTGATTCCTTATAATGAGTAGCACAGCAAGTATGGTGGACGCTTGTGCATCTAAATACCTCTCAAATTCCCGGTCCCGGAATAATCGTCTGGATGGACACGTCAGGCTCCGATTATCTTGCTTGGCATGACACGTAGGTTCCTCAGTGAATCCTATAAATACCCCCCCGGGCCACGTCAAAAAGGTAATTGAAACCAACCCTAAGTTCTTTTTATCTCCGCCCTAAAGGTAGCCCTGATTATTGCTGACTTAAGCATCGGAGTGTCTACCCCGAGTTCCACCTCGGGGCTTTGCAGGTCCTCCCGGAGTGCAAGCGCGGACTGGAGAAGGATTTCTGGTTTGGTGCAATTACATTGGCGCCGTCTGTGGGAATCGAACTGAAAGCTTTCTAGTTGCTCTTTCATCATGGTTCACACTCGATCAGTCCGAGCTGGTAATTCATCTCTGCCTCACGGGCAAGGTCAACCCTCCAACAACCTTCCACCTCTGATTCCACCTCAGATTCCACCTCAAATCCCACCTCAGTTTCCACCTCAGGTCCCGACCATATTTCCTATTGATCATGCAGAAGGAGGAGATGAAAACCAACCTCATACCTCAGCCCATAATTCAACTTCCACTGCCAACCAAGACGTGGTGACGGCTCAGCTTGCTATCATGCAGCAGCAGTTTGGTGTTTTTCAGTTGGTACTGGCTCAGCTTTTAGCTAGAAATAATCCTGGTGATCCTCTCATTAATTTACTAAACCCTGCTCAGCAACCCCCAGCTCCACAACAGAATCCTCAACCGGCTCAATATGCTCCCGTTGTTAGCGAATCTCAAGGTCAATCCCACATAGCACCCGCTCAACAACCCATCCCTGATGATGTCACTCGCCGTCTCGATAGCCTGGAGAAGCTAGTAGCCGAACACCGAGGTGCTCCACCCCCACACCAAGGTGCTCCACCCCCACACCATGCTGCTGACTCTATACCTCACCCTTTGAATACCAACATTACTCTAGAACCCTATCCTGCTGGTTTCAAAATACCACAATTGGAGACTTATGACGGGACGAAGGACCCCGATGATCACCTGCATGCTTTCTACTCCTGTATGCAAGCTCAGAACGCTTCTAACGCGTTAATGTGCAAAATCTTCCCATCTACTCTACGAGGTAATGCTCGAACTTGGTATTATAGTCTACCTCCGAGGTCAATTAGTTCTTACACAGAAATGGCATCTGCCTTTGCCACTAAGTTTTCCAGTAGAAGGTTGATTAGGAAAACTACTACCGAATTAATGCGAGTCAAACAGAGGGACGGAGAGCCTTTAAAGAACTACATGAGCAGGTTCAATGATGCGGTGTTGGAGGTTAATTCCTTCGACCAAGCTGTGGGCATTGCAGCTGTAATCTCTGGTCTCAAACATGACAGGTTCCGAGACAGTTTGATCAAACATGCTGCCATCTCCTTTAGCGAGGTAAACGACAGATCTCTGAAATTCATAACTGCTGAGGAATACGCTCTAGCGCAAAACCCACCTTCCTCTAAGAACCAGAACCCAGAATGGAGAGATGACAATCCGAGCTGGAAAAGGATGAGAATGGCGCAGAACCGAGGTCCAATGTTGACCTCCCCCACGAGATTCGGAAGGACGAACTCAACACCTCTACAACAATCTGCAGGTAAACCTCCAGTTAATTGGACTCCCTTTAATCTGCCGAGGTCACAAATTTTTATGCAGATCAAAAATAAAATGGATTTAAGGCATCCTGGCCCGATGAAAACTGTTGCTGCCAGTCGAGACCACACTAGATATTGTGATTTTCACCAGGATCACGGTCATACTACAGAGCAGTGTAACAGTTTAAAGTCCGAACTAGAAAGTTTAGCTCAGAAGGGAATGCTAAATGAGTATGTACAGCGAGCTGAACAGCCGAGGTTTGTCAGAGAACAGAGGCCGCAACCTCAAAGAGCCCGCAATCCCCCAAATAGGCAAGGTGTGGGATACCAACAAACCCCACCTCCACTCCAACCACCAGCTAGAATCATACATATGATTACGGGAGGCCTTGAAGCAGGTGGACTGAGCTCTAAGCAACGAAAGCTGTATGTCAAGGAGGTTAAACATCAAAACCGAGCTCAGAAGCGGAAGATTGACGATGCTGAATGGAAGAATCAACCAATTACTTTCACGTCTGCTGATCTCGATACAATTGTTACACCCCACAATGATCCTTTGGTCACTTCTGTAATGATTAACAACTATGAAGTACAACGTGTCCTTATTGACACCGGGAGTGCACCAGACATCATGTACTTCCACTGTTTCGAGAGTCTAGGACTAGATCCAGCATTGTTGCAGAAGTATGATGGTCCTATCTATGGTTTTAATAACCAACCTGTTCCGGTAGAAGGAGTTCTTACCCTCCATGTGGCTTTTGGGAGGGGTAGAACCTATGTGACCCCGTTGGTCCGGTTCCTTGTAGTCAAGATGGCGTCCTTTTTTAACATTGTTATTGGCCGACCCATACTGACTGAAATCCGAGCTGTGGTTTCCCAGTCTCACCTCTGTATGAAGTTCCCAACTCCCATGGGAATAGCAACACTGCGAGGAAACCAGGAGGTGGCCACACATTGTTATATCACCTCGGTAACACAACCCATGAAGGGCAAAGCTCAGACACCCGAAGCCATTTCCCAGCAAATTTCTGACAATCAGCAAGTTATGGGTGTTGAGATCGTAGACAATCGACTGGAAGATGAAACCAGAGCTGCTCTGGTCGAAGATGTTGAAGAAGTACTTATTGATGATAGAGATCCGAGCCGAAAGACGCAGATCGGAACTAGATTGAACCCAGAGGAAAGAGCAGAGCTTATAGCTTTTCTTCGAGCTAATAATGATGTATTCGCATGGACTTCGGCAGATATGCCAGGAATTCCAAATTCAGTCTCTCAACATAAGCTCAGCACCAATCCATTGAAAAAACCAGTGGCCGAGAAGCGGCGTCTCTTCGGGGGTGAGAGGCTTCAGGCTATTAAAGAAGAGGTAACGAAGCTCTTGCAAGCTGGTTTTGTCAGAAAAGTCGATTACTGTGAATGGGTGGCTAACCCAGTTCTGGTGAAGAAGGCAAATGGCAAATGGCAAATGGCAAATGGCGAATGTGTATTGATTACACAAATCTTAACAACGCCTGCCCTAAGGATTGCTATCCAATGCCAAGCATTGACAAACTAGTTGAAGCGGCTTTAGGCAATGAGAGGTTAAGCCTCTTGGACGCATATTCGGGGTATCACCAGGTGCCAATGGCTCCAGAAGACGAAGAGAAAACCGCGTTCTATGCTGGCAATGAAATTTATTGTTACGTCATGATGCCGTTTGGCTTGAAGAATGCAGGCGCTACTTATCAGAAAAATGGTAACCATTGTCTTCCACGCTCAGATTGGCAAGAACCTGGAGGTATATGTTGACGACATTGTGGTAAAGAGCCTAAAAGCAGAAGACCATCTCGCCGACCTTGACGAAACCTTTAACAACCTTAGAAAGAATAGGATGCGGTTGAACCCAGCCAAATGCATCTTCGGAGTGGAGTCTGGAAAATTTCTAGGTTTCATGGTGTCCCGAAGGGGAATTGAGGTCAATCCAGAGAAGATCAGAGCAATTGCCAAGATGGAACCGCCGAAATCAGTGAAGGATATACAAAGGCTGACTGGAAGGGTGGCAGCTCTGCATCGGTTCATATCGAAGTCAACAGATAAATGTCTGCCATTTTTCAAAATTATGAGGTCAGCCGCCCAGAAAGACGAGTCAAGGAAGCAAAAGAAGTTCGAATGGAGCCAAGAATGCCAAGCTGCATTTGAAGAGCTGAAATCTTATCTTAGCTCACCGCCTCTATTGACTAAGGCCGTAGATGGCGAACTTCTTTACTTGTACCTAGGGATTTCAAATGAGGCCATTAGTTCAGTTTTGGTGAGAGAAGAAGCTAGACAGCAAAAACCAATTTATTATATCAGCAGTGTGCTGCACGGAGCAGAGCTAAGGTATCATATAGCCGAGAAAGCAGCATTAGCAGTCGTCACTTCGGCCAGGAAGTTGAGGCCATATTTCCAATCACACCCAATTATAGTTCTCACCGATCAACCTCTCAGGCAGATTCTGCAGAAACCAGAGTGTTCTGGAAGATTAATTAAGTGGGCAGTGGAACTGGGAGAGTTTGAGATAACATTCCAGCAGAGATCGGCCATCCGAGCTCAAGCATTAGCAGATTTTATTGTCGAATGCACTCCATGCCCTTCAACCTCTAATCCAGAGCCCAACGACTGGACCTTATATCTTGACGGAGCATCTAGTAGCAAAGGTTCAGGGGCTGGCGCTCTCTTGATTGGTCCAGAGGGATACCGAAGCGAACATGCCCTGAAGTTCAATTTCGATGCAACAAATAACATGGCTAAATATAAAGCTCTACTACTTGGTCTACAACTCGCACTAGAATTGAAAATCAGTGCAATTCAAGTATATAGTGACTCTCAGCTGGTGGTGAACCAAATCAACTCTATTTGCGAAGTCGTCGATCCTGTGATGGTAAAATATGTAGCCTTGGTGGCCGAACTGAAGTGCAAATTTCAGAAATTCTGTCTGAGTAAAATTCCCCGAGCTGAGAATGAACAGGCAGATTCACTCTCCAAGTTTGCCTCTGATAGCTCTTTAAGCTCCAGATCCGTTTTTGTAGAGGTCTTAGATGAACCAAGCTTCACGAAGCCTCGGGTGATGGAGATTAACACCAACCCTGACACGCCGAGCTGGACTGATTCAATTGTCTCCTTCTTACGAGATGGGATAGTACCTGAGGACAGGCAGGAGGCGATGAAATTGAGGAAGAAAGCATCTCAGTATACACTTGTCGATGGAGTCTTGTATAAGAGATCTTTCTCACTTCCTCTTCTACGGTATTTAAACCCCTATGAAGCTGAATACGCACTTCGAGAGGTACATGAAGGTGTCTGTGGGAGCCATGTCGGTGCTAGAACTCTGGCTCACAAAGTCTTAAGACAAGGATACTACTGGCCAAACATGTACAAAGATGCCACATACTTTGTTCAGAAATGCCCGAAATGTCAATTCTACGAACACCTGACTCATCAACCAGCAGAAGAGCTCACGAACTTGGTAGCGCCGTGGCCATTCGCTCAGTGGGGACTAGATCTTTTGGGTCCATTCGTGAAAGGGGTTGGTGGTGTAACCCATCTGGTTGTTGGTGTGGATTATTTCACAAAATGGGTTGAAGCTCGGCCCTTATCCAGTCTTACCTCCAAGAAGGTCGAAGATTTTGTTTTCAGCTCGATCATCTGCAGATATGGGATCCCAAATCAAATTGTGGCTGATAATGGAACTCAATTCAATTGCTCTTCATTCCGAGATTTCTGTTCCAGTTATGGGATCAAGTTGCAGTTCACCTCCATTTACCATCCGGAGTCCAATGGCATGGTGGAATCTATCAACAAATGCATTTTGGAAGGTATACGGCCGAGATTGGAGCAGCATAAGGCCAAGTGGGCAGACGAGCTCAACAACGTTCTCTGGGCATACAGAACCACGAGCCGAACTGCTATAGGTACTACTTTAAACCGAGTTTATTTAATTAATTTCTAGTCTTTTACTTCCTCTGATACACTTTACCTTAGAGCAAGTATGCATAATGCATAAAGCACATTCTAAAGTTATAATTAACTGAAATAGGTGAAACACCCTACCATCTGGCCTTTGGTACCGAAGCAGTCATTCCTGTTGAAATAGGAGTCCTAAGCTTCCGGGTCACCCATTTCGATGAAGGACGAAATGGACAACTGCTTCGGGAAAACCTTGATCTGCTTGCTGAAGTCAGAGAAGAAGCTCGGCTTCGAACTCTTGCATACAAGCAGAAACTAGCCAACTTCTACAATAAACGGGTCCGCCCTCGAACATTCAAAGTAGGAGACCTTGTCCTCAGGAAAGCTGGCCTAACAAGGTTTGAAACTCGTTTTGGCAAACTCGCCCCAAATTGGGAAGGCCCTTATGCCGTGGCCGAAGTGCCACATCCTGGTGCCTATGTCCTCCAAGACGCTGAAGGAAAGAGAATTCCTAGAGTCTGGAATGTCAATAACTTGAAGAAATTTTACCCTTGATAAAATTCTTTCAAGTGATATATGTCTTACTGTTCTTTACACTTCTCACTTCGTATTTATTTGAGATTCATTTTACTTCTTATTCTATGTATCCGAAGTCAATCAGTACTTAAATCTCACTTCTGAATAATAAAAGTCACTTCACATATGAAGTACTTTATTTCCTTTTAAGTTCGTTCACAGTGATGTGCTTATTCCTAATCTACATGGAAGATATTTACTTCTTCTTAACTCGTCTGAAGTGACTTATTTTCCTTTTGTTTATTTCTGAAGTGGTTAACCTTCTTTCAAATTACGTCTCAAATACTCTTAGTTCTTTTATTCATACAAAATAATAAAAATATAAACCAAACATCAACAAATATATAATTTCATTTAATACAAGTATTACAAACTGTTTAAAAGTCTACCAAAAATTAAAATAATAATAATAATAATAATAATAATAATAATAATACTAAAATAAAATAAAATTAGTTCTCTGCTGAAAGAGGTGGCTCCACCGGCTCCTGTTCAGCTGGAAGAGGTGGCTGTCTTGGTTGCTGCTCGTCTGACAGAGGAGGCTGCTCATCGTCGGAGGGAACTGGATGAATCTCCACTTCTGGAACTGCTTGGCTCTCATCCACTTCAGCTCCCTCCACTCCTGCCTCCACCTCGTCTTCCTCTACTTCTGCCCCTTCTTCCTCCACTGCCACGAACTCGAAGTCGAACTGTGGAGGGAAAACAGCACGTCCGTTTGCATCATCCTCCCACCTCAGTTTGATCTGAGGACGGAAGTCTGCAGACATGCTCTCCCCATCTTCCTCCACTCCTTCTTCTTGCTCTCCGAAGGTGATCTTCGTAATATCCACTTCGAGATATTCTGCCTTCACCTTCTTCCTGCAGTCCGTGAACGCGATGATGGCAGTAGGAAGCCGATATAGGTTGACAATGCTGTCAAACGAGCTGGAGCTGATGAAGTTGCTGATGTGCTCCTTCATCCCATTGTGCACCAAGGTCTGCACATTCCCCTTCAGCTCCAAGAAAGCCTCCTTTGTCAGCTTTAGCTCTTGCGCCTACGCCTCACGCTCGTTTTCAGAGATATTCCTTTTGCTCTCTTCAAAGCCGAGCTTGATGCTCAGGGAAGACCTCTCATGTTCCAACTGTTTCACAGTCGGAACCACCTCGTCCAGCGACTCTTGCAGATCTTTATTTTTCTTCTCAAGCTCCTCCTTCTCCTTCTGCAACTGGTCACACCGCCTCTGCAAGAGTACACGCTCCTTCACACCATCCCTGAACTCCTGGGCTAGACCATTCACCCAGCTCGCGCTCTGCAAATCAAAGCAGAAGTTCAAAGGGAAAGAAAAGAAGAGGAAATAGAATAAATAAACAGCAGCACTAACTTAACGTACCTCAAGAACGTGCTTCACAACGGATGCTCCCCCGTACCTCAGAGCCTCCTCCCGCGCGTTGCGCTTGTCCACTTCAGGGAAGGTGCTGTTGATGAACCACCTAGCCCCCATTATGTTCTTCGCCTCGAACAGGCTGCTCTGAGACACCACCGGGGAAACAGGGCCCTTTCCCTTGCCAGGAGCCCGTACCTCAGCCCCCTCCTCCAACCGTCTGAGCTCAGGGTTCAGCTCAACAGGAGGAGGCTCAGGTACGAACTCAAAAACCCCATTCCCCTCTTCCTCCTCCACCACTTTCTGCTTCTTTTGCAGTGCCCTCCTCTCCTCCCAACCCTTCCTCTTCAGCGCTGGCACCTCCTCTTCTGTCTCAGCTGAAGCCACGGGCACTACCTCCTTCCCGGTCCTCCCTTCATCCACTTTCTTGGTTGAAGTCTTTGACTTCTTCCTTGGCTTCTTGGGGATGGGCGCTCCTCCAACAGTGTTCAGAAATTGGTCCATTTCAGCTGCAAAGCAAGAAACACAATGTTAGTCACAATTTTATATGCTACATCTAATGCTACAGTGCATGATAAACAAACCTTCACTCAGGGCGCTTGGCCCATAGAGCTCAGCAGCCTCTATGCATGCTGCGCTGGTGAGGTCCATGATGTTCAACATATCTCCCCCCCTTCCTCACCAACTTCCCCACTTCTTCCTCCTTATCCTCATTTAAACTAAACCTATTCTGGTTGGCCCTTTTGGCCTTCCAGGAGGCTAACGCCCTCACCTCGGCATCCCCCTCACCTCGGCATCCCCCTTACCCCACTCCGTGTCATCAACAAAAAAGAATTTTTCCTTCCATCCCTTAATGGATGAAGGACCCGCAGTAAATAAAACCCTACTCTCCTTCTTAGCTACCCTAGGGGTGAAATAATACCACCCCTTATCCCTCCTACTTCCTCCCTTTAAAACAAAAAAGTATTTAAACATATTCGCAGTTGGTACACTAATCCCCTGAGCTCGGCAATAAACTAAAAAACCTATTATTACCCTCATTGCGTTGGGGACCAACTGTGTCAACCCTATGTTGTAATCTAATAGTAAACCTACAAGCAACTCCGGAATTGGAAACTTAAGGCCAGCATACAAATAATGGGAGTATACGGGCATCCAATGATCCCGAGGAGCAGAGCATGCCCTTTCCTCTACTCCAGCTGGCCTAACTAGCACTCGTGATGAGATTTCGTAATTTTCTACTAAGTGACCCAGGCTATCCCTGGTCCTTAGTTCAGATCGATACTGTGTCACCTCCTCCACTATCTCTGCATTCTCATCATAATCCCTCTCCCCTCTACCCTCTACTTCTACTACCGTAATGGGTATGCTATCTCCCTCAACCCCTACCACCTCGTTCCTCCCAACCTCTACCACCTCATCCTCTCTTATCCCCTCCACCGTCTTCTCCGAACTAGATGGGGATGGACTACTCTCCGAGTCCATACCCCCATACTCTAAAGGCATCACCTCACTCCCAATCACACTTTCTGTTCCTTCTGCAGACATTTTCTCAAACTCTGCACGAGGTAGGGGGGAGGAATGAAGTCAGGACCCATTTAAAAAATAATAATAATAATAATAATAAAATAAATAAATAATAAAAACCCCCTCTGTTACACATTCAAAAACCTTCTCATCTCTAACCCTAACTTCCTTCAGAGAACTCTAAATCAATCACAGAAAGGGAGAAAGGAGAAAGACACTTCGATTAACTTAAAATCAGAGTTCCGTCTACATTACCTGATCTCGGTTTTGAAAGACTTGATTTAGAATTCCCCAGTTGATGTTGCAGTACACGCACAGGAAACACAGTAAAGCTTCTCGTAGAAGTTTTGCAGGAAAAGAAATGCAAGTAAACCTTTTTCTGCAAGAAAAATGCCTATTTATACTTCTGGGCAAAATTAGATCTCAACGGTTGAGATTCGTTTAATCTTACGGTCCCTGTTGGCACCGTTTGGAATTCAACGGACAATCCCAAACGGTACCGTTTGGAACTTGACGGTTCGTTTTTAAATTCGCCCGTTTAACTGTCGCAGTTATCTTTTTACGGCCGCATTTATTGCGCACGTCATTCCAAGGACAACTGTCACCACGTGTTACCCCTTTGTCAGATTTTTCAGAACGAACCCACTCACGACCATTTCAACACCTTTATTTACTTTTCTCAATTTTGTTAAGTGTTTCATTTCGGCTCTGGCCACAATAATGCTGCATTACATTTCACACCGACTTCGGCCACAGTGATCCTGTATCACACATTTTATTATGGC